TTGAGTTTTACTTACGATGTAGACAGAAAAGGTACCTGGCAAAAAGATGGTTCGAAGCGAGCCGTCACTCAAACGGGCCGAAGGCCCGTTTTCGGATAGAAGATGTATTACACCATAAAAATTCAGAAGGGACGGGCCGAAGGCAGGCCAAGCTGGGCCCGCTCCAGAGCTGTAATGCGGTCCCGTCCGGGTCCAGCGTCCGGGTCCGTCCGCGCGCCACTGGCAGGCAGACAGACACATCTGGGCTCGGCTCGCCTCGCTCGCCGGCCGACGCGCTGGGCCGGACCCGGGTTCGGTCCGGGTCAGCATCGAGACCGCATGGACTCGCACGCACCGGCCGCGAAGCTTCGCTCTCGAACCCCACAGATGGCAGCACTATGCAGGCAGCGTGCAGGCGAGGGGAGTGGTGGTGCGGTGTGTTGGGGGCCAACTCGGACGCCGGTGCGGTTCTACGCTCCCCCCTCCACCTGGTCCCAGTGCGGTGCCTGCGGTGCGGTCCCGGTCCGGGTCCAGTGGAACCGGACCCGCACCGCACTAGCATCCCGGGACCGGGACCGCACCGCAAACGTGCGGTCCCTAGGTGCGGGTCGAAAGTGGGACCGCATTACAGCTCTGGCCCGCTCCCTGCCGAACCGAGTTGCCGGTGGAGCGAAGTGGAGCTGGCAACTTGGTTTGGCGGAAGAGCGGGCCCAGCTTGTTCCTACTCTTTTAAGTGTGAGATATCATGTGTCCTACACTCATGTGTCCGACACCGGGGACTGTCGACACTTTTAGGCGTCGAACACTCCTTGTCCTGCACTTGAAAGTGTAGGATGGTCTCTCAAGCTTTGCAACTGTACACTCATTTCCTTACGGACTCGCTTACGGATAATTTTGTGCAAGCGTAATATGGATCAAATTTATCTGTTATACGGATGAAATGGTCCGTAGTATGGATGATTTCATCCGTATTATCAACAATGCTAGGTTCGTCCCTTACGGAGAAATGAATATTTTTTCTCCGTAACTTACGAACCAAGCTGTGTTGATAAAACGGATAAAATTGTCCATATTACGGTTGATTTCATCCGTATTACAGATAAAATGTGATCCACATTACGGTTGCACAAAATTATCCGTAAGCGAGTCCGTAAGGAAATGAGAGTGTAGGACATGCCTGTGACGTGCACGTTTAACTGTAGGACACCATGGTCCTCACACTCATAAATTTTTGGCTGAACGACGCTTGCGTCTCTAGAGCACAGAGGAAGACTACTTGCTATCCGTGGCCCAGGTGCATCAAAAATATTAAACAGCAAGAAAAAATGGGAATAACGCACAAAACGGGCACTTCTTTTTTGATTTTTAAAAAACCGCTAAGGTTAACGTGGAAAAAGATGAGGCAGGACATGCATATTAATTTAAAAAAAAACCCTCAATATTTTATGTTAATGAAGAATCAAACCCATGGGCACGGAAATAATCTTAAATTCAGCGAACGTGATCGAGTAAGTTATCGTCTCGTATCTGTGAACTTACTCCGAGACGGCCCAGCCCAAAGGTATCAGGGGCGGCGCGGCCCGCGGCAGAGTGGGTGGAAATCGAAAATTCAGGGACAAAAGTTACTTTTTGTACTTGCCGAAAAACACCAATCAGTGATGCATACTAATACACTGCCGCTCGAAATTAGCGGCGCACTTTTTTGAGCCGGCGTATTTTTTGTGTTTTGAGCTAGAATGTCGAGATTTGGCCTGTAGACGTCTCATTGGTTCGACTTGGATCCCACGAAGTGCGCATCCCTTGCGCCACCCCACAAGGCCTGTGCAGCCCCTAGAGTAAAGAGGGGTAGAAAATTTGACCGAAAAGGTTTCGAATTAGTCACTTTGAACGATCGGAAAGTCAAATTTTTGGTGTACCGACTCAAATTTGTGTCATCTTTCGGACGTCGCAAGCGAAATCGCGGTCGTTCAAACCCACCCCCTGCCCCGTTCACCCCCACCCCCATGAAGGGGTGAGTTTTGAGGATGGTCAAAACTACCGTGAAATCCTCTGGGGACACCCCCTGTACACGGGACATGTGTTTCTTTGCGAATTCGACAAACACCGGCCAAACCACCCCCACGAACGTTCGACCCCTTTTCGAATATCGGCCATTTTAGAATTTAAGGGTTGATTTTTAGGGAATTGTTTACTTTACTGACTCCTCGCCCTTCAGTCACTCAAGTATACCATCGGAAAGGTATTTTTCAGTAGAATCCTGAACAGTATTTATATATTGGCGCTCGAGTCTGGTTTTCCTCAAATTTAAATAAATATGCGTCGCCGCTAACCTTCAGGTGCACTTTGAAGACGGCAGAATAACTTACGTTTACGGCTAGTGCTGACGTTGATCGCTCCGG